CGATTCCAAGCCCTGGTCAACGGTGCTTACAGTGGCCAACAGGTTCATAAACTTCCCGCAATGTCCTTTACAGCATCCGATGCGCTCAGCTGAAGACATGAGCAAAGTGTCACGCCGCCCAATGCAGACAAACAGCACCCAGAATTTGCCTTCTTCTTCTGACCAGCGCCGTGCTGATGCCACCTGATCACAAGATCGTAGACTTGCGAGGGGTCTCAAGCAAGCATAGGCGATCATTTGCTGTATTTTCTAGCTGGCCACTGGCAAAGCCAAGCACCAATGCCGAAGAATGTCTGCAAAGCTGAGGCCAGAGCTGGCTCAAAATCTCATGAAGCAGCCCTTGAACGTTGCCTCGCTCCCACCTAAGCAAGGCAACGTGATCAGCCTGCGGGCCAAATTCATTGTGGCGCATCAAAAGGCTTGGGGGCCATGTGTCAGGCAACAGTTTTCTCTGGAGACAATTTTAAAACAGGGTCCCCAGCTCTGAGGCAAGCCTCTGATCATTCTGGCGTGCAGGGTCAGCATCCACAATCGGCTTTCTGGTCCTTCAGCAGGGAACACCAGCATTGACTCTGATGGACACCTTTCTAAGCACAAAGTGGTCGTTGAGAATGGTTGGTGAGTAATTCTTGGGACGGGCGTTGGCCTCTTTGCCTGTGAGACTGCCAAAAACTTTCAGACATAGAATACATTTCCATGGGACTATTCATAACAGTAGTCCCAAAATTTGATGGGGCAAGGTTGGGAACACAAAGTCGGCCTGTACTTTTTGGGAGTGCCCTTTCTAAGGTTTGTTTAAGGGGAAGTTATATAAAAGCAACACAGTAATTTGTGGGGATTCCCCTCTTTTTCACCACCACATACCCGAAGCTAGGACCAGTTCCCCACAATGTTGGAATAGTGTAGCCATAGTTCTTTGTAAGCTAGAAAGAGTTCTGCAACCTGGCGAGCTCCCTCACAGAAAACCGGAATAGAGAGGCCGACGTTACTGTGACTGGCAAAGCAGGTCTTGGAGCCAGGCTTCTGCAGTGCCAACTGGACGGCCTCTCTGCTGTGCTCCTTTTCCATGAGCTTGCGCCACCTTGGTATATCCGGGTATCTCTCCAAATGAGCTGGACAAGACATGTCAATGCGGCTGCCCCAAAACAAAACCGATGTCGTGCGTGCGGGCCGCCGTAAGACGACAGTTCTAAACACCAAATTCGAACATGAACGTACGTGAACTGCACACATGTTAGCAGCAAATGTGGTGGTTGTTTACTGCTCTGCACTGCTTGTTGCGATTGTTGGCACCTACCCGTGCAACAACATGTTGAACACTTCAGTATCTGTGTACTCTTCTTCACCTCCATGTTGCAGTTGCAGTTGTTGCTGCTTCCACATGGCTGCACCAGTGCTCGGTTTTCTTGCTTGAGCAGAATTCCACCAGACCGAATGTTTCACCCATGCTTTCCAATTTGTCCAGCGCAGCCGGCTCAAAAAGGAACTGCAAACAGAAACGCGAAGACAACAAAGCAGACTTGTCCCCTTCTGTTGGTTCAGGTGATGTTCCGAATTTCCTTCCCATGCGAATGCCAACATCAAGTTTCCCTAGGCCGACTGGTTTGAATTGATATGAGCCGGTTTGACAAACACTACGAATCGCGTAAGAGGGGGGCCTTTTCTCGCTCAAATCGGCGAGCCCAAGATGGAGGCATTCCCAATACATACCGCTCAAAGTAGCCGAAAAAGAGTACCCTGGAAGCATGACCACAGGCCCACAGTGGGCCGCCGATATCTGAATTTTGTCTTTGAAGCTATAGTGCTACCAACGGTTGCCCGTCAAGCCTGAGCTACCCGCCCAAGATCTCCCAAGTTCCTCCGGATCTTTTCAAAAAGTTTGTTGAAAGGCCGGTCGGGTGCTGTGGCTGTACCGGCAAGGCCTCCGCAAATGCTTGGTCCCGACAGCACGCATTACTTCGGCAGTCGCACACGCACCAGGGTTGGGCCAGCCTTGAGTAAACATGTTGAAACAATTATTGTTTAAACAACCTGCTTTGTTTTTCCATTTCAAGTCGGTCCGGGTCTGGTCGTTTCAGCCGCCACCCCTAAGGGGCAAGCTGGGACACCACCTCGTGCAGCAGCCCAGCAACGCTGCCGCGCTCCCACCTGCGCTTCTAGCGCGAAAGAAACGTGGCGCTGCTGATCATCTGGTCAGTTCCGGCAAGGTCAGGTCATTCATATTGTAGGGATCCTTTGGCATCATTTTCCTGGGGGTTATTATGTTGGCCAACCATCCTTTTGGGGTGTCTTAGAATAGCGGACTTTAAGCATGAATAAATCAAGGCCATTTCCCGGCTCTTTCGTCGGTCCGACCGGATCAATCCCGAGGCTGCCGCTTCTGCAGCGCCAGCTTGACAGACTCGCGCTTCTGCCTCGGATCCGAAAGGGCTGGACCGTCTCCAGCCAACAAAAAACAAACCGCTGGGTTTGACATATGCTAAGGTCCTCAACTGGCCATTCTCTCCCAGCTGCCATGAACCCGAACTGGCACACACCTGGCCCCACCAAGGAAATAGTCCATGCGAAAGGGCCGCGCAGCTTGCGAACGACGCACCCCCCAAGTGAGATGTGCGGCTTTCCAAGTGGAAGGGCCTAAATCGGCTGGTGTACCCCCCCCCTCTCTTTCTGTGCATCACTTAGTAGGGCGACAGGAATTTAGGCCAAGACTGGGATATGAAAAGATTCAGTCGGCGATGGATATGGTGACATTTTTTTCTGAGTAGCCTTCTTCCCAGCAATGGATGATAGACGTGCTGTTGCCAATGCCTGTTGGCATGCTATGTAAAGCAGCATGCCTCGGAGCACGTCCTTTGACTGCAAGACCCAGGGATTTTGAATCACACGCAACCCGTTGCCATCAAACAAGTGAAAGGAGGCAGTGGGCAAACATTCTGCATCGCCAATACTTTGACCAAAGGGAACTCATCAACTAGATTAATTTATCAAATAATGATGCAGCCATTCCAGCGCCAAAGGCTCTCCTGCATAAACTGGGTGCCACACTCTTTGGCCTTTTGTCTGGCCAAGGCCTCAAGAGACCCTGCCCTTTGTACGGGACGATGTGTTTTTTGGGAAAACTTCCAGGAGCAAAGGCCTGAAGCTTCGTGTTGTAAACTTAATTGGTGGATGTGCACCCGTATTGAACAGAAAGGGCGGCGCAAGTTGCTGCAGGCAAAGGCAGCGGGCTGCACAAACGGGACCCACATATATTGCTGGGCGCCCTTTTCTGGGACAGCCGAGGAGGCATGCAAACAACCAGTCTGCATTTTTCAGAGCTAGATCTTTGTTGGGGTTTGGCTCAGGGAACGGCAGCGCCAGCATCAAGATGTATTGGCAGCGCCAGCATCAAGATGTATTGAACTCTTGAGTCCAAACACCAAATTCACTACACCAGCAACTCGCAGTGCTGTAGTTGAAAAGAAATGTTGCCTGACCCCAAATCCAAACTTGCTAGATCGCAATAGCACCCTCAGCTCGTCCGAATCAATTACACCTCGGTGCCTACTCTTAAATCGAATGCTCCGAGCATTCTGACCGAAGCAACCACAAACAGTAGCTCACCCCAAGAAAGAAAGCAGTAGCCAAAGCCACGTTCCATCTTCGTTGCACTGCTCGCCAGCTGGAATGACCAAATAAGAACGGGCCCCCGAAAACGCTTTATTGGGACAACAAGCTTCAAGCCGAATGTCATCCATGGCCTGCACCGGCTCGGCGTTTCGGATTTCGGCTTGGGCGAGGGCATCCACAACTTTCTTCCATTCTGCCATGCAGGTGCCCAGGACGCCAACCTGAAGCTCAAGCCGTGTGCCTGTTCGGGTAGCTGAAAAGGGTGTCTACACCACGTTGGCCGGCCGGCCGGTACCCCTTTGTTTGTGCAGTGGCAAAGTGTGCCTTGCAACAGCCAAGGGAGTTGGGGTGCATTCGGAAATCACAAGTACAGAGGAAAGCAGCTCGCAACATGCCAGCATTTGCCAGGCCCCGGGCCCCTGGTTTCGACACAAGGCCACTATGTGTATATATATATATGTGCACCGCCACAAACCCGCGGCTCTGCTTGTGTAAGGCGAGTAACTTTATGTGGATGTTGCCGAAAGTGGGCACATTTTCCATTGCGGCAGATTTGCGCACATGATTCATTAAGACGTTGCCACCCATCTAAATAGTTTCGTCTTCTACTTTCTGAACATCGTGTGTGGCGTCCTCCTGTTGGTCCTTGTTCAATCATTTCATACATCTTTTGGTCGTAAACTAAAACTATTTTCAACACAAGACAATTTGAAGCAAAGTTAGGCACATTGGAAAAACGAAGCTAGGTAAAGCCTCATAATACACAGGGTCTAAGCCATGATGTGTCACGCATACACCTCCGAAGTGCTCAAACATGTGTCAATGATAGAACATCTGCTGCAGAAACTGTGATGTTCGCACATGGGTTGTTGTCAAACTGTGGACTTATTACTTTTCATGAATGTTATCCTGGTTCAACTGACCGTAAAACATCTCTGTGAGAGTACCGTCGCAAGGCTATGAACAATAAAGCAACCAATGCCTCTTCTGCTTCGCCTACGCATCTTGAATTTCTCATCTCAACTGATGTGCAACTCCTCAACTTAAAAAACCTGTGCCAATGCCCGCTACGGCTACGCATCTTCCATCTCGCATCTCAACTCATCTGCACATCCCCTTCGCCTGTCAGCTCACAACCAGTCCGGCAAACAACGGAAAGCGCAAATGACACTCCAGAGGGCACTATTGAAAGGGCAAGGATAGAATCCAGAGAGCATCCTCTAATACAAACTTGTGTTGTTTAACGTCAACCTAAGTTTAATAAATGGGGGGCGTATGAATAAAATTCTCGGCCACCGGACCCGCTTTTTCACCCAATACTAAATTAAGAAGGGGATAATTCAAAAGTTAATTGCACACATACAACACCGCCCCCCCAAGTCGACCCTCCAAAGCACAACATTAATAAACCACCCAAAAACTCACATTAATAAAATTCCCCGAAACGTGGGGGCGAGCCAAACAAGTTTGTTCGTATCAGGGAGCAAACCAGTCCAAAATGATTCAAAAGTAAACAGGTAGCGTGCAGAAGTTGATGCCAAAGAGACACATGCAACAAGCGCGCAGCGCACCAGGTAAGATAATTATATAACTGGAACCTTCAAAGGCTCCCTAGCAGACCTCAGATCTCCAGAAAACATACATGCCCGGAAAGTGCGGCTTTTAAATGAAGTCTCTTTACACAAGTGATGTCCCTGGACTCCAACATGAGGTACCCCACATAAGCTCCCCAAACCCGCATTAGTAAAAGGGTTCACATTGATGAACACCCCAAAGCTTCCCCTAGGAAGAACTTGGCGTTGGTATTGCTACAAGTACCACAAGTACTACTAGTACTTGAAGCAGTACTAGAAGTAGTACTACAAGTACTAGATGCAGTACTACAAGTACTCTACAACTAGTACAACAGGTACTACAAGTACTACAAGTATTACAAGTACTAGAAGCAGTACTACTGCAGCCACTATTACAAGTACCACAAATACAGAAAGCAGTACAAGTACTACTACAAGTACTACTACAAGTGCTACTACAAGTGCAACTACAACTGTAGCCGCTACTACAAGTACTACAAATACTAGAAGCAGTACTACAAGGACTACTACAAGGACTACAGTTACTACTACAAGTACTACAAGTACTACTTGAGGAGCGGGTGAACGAAAGCTAGCAGTTGTTGCATGAGATGGGTCGGTGACAGAGTGGATTCATAGGTAGCTTGTGTACAACGAGAGGCCCGGCAAGATTCGTAGGATGCGACACGCAAACACACATGGTGGCGTGGCAAACCTTGAAAAATGAGAACAACGAGAGGCGTCAGAAGCTGTCTTAAAGCACCTCTGGCTTCTGCATGCTGCGTGTGCAAAGATTCTTGCGAGGTGGTTTACTGAGAAGACTGAGGTCTCAAATGAACAAGCTGAATCGGTGGAACATGTAAAAGTTCGTGGCACCAAGTCCAAAACGGGCAAACCGAGACTGCTGAAACACTGAGCCACTGCCCGGGGGGAGGGGTGGACCAAGGAGGAATCGAGCCTGAGACGGGGGGGGGGGAAGGAGGGGGGCGGGGAGGGGGGGGGGGGGTCTAAATAATTGATTTTTTTCAATCTTTTCGGCTCAAATAATTAAAAAAATCAATCTTTCGGCAGTTGAGCCCCTTACCTTGCTTACGCAAGGAGAAACTTCAGCCAGCTAAAGCTAGCTTTCGTGACAAGTACTAGAAGCAATACTACAAGTACAATTGTTTTTTATTGCGTTACTTTGCCCGAAGACAATAAAACAAAAAAAAGTTGAGGGGGGGGGGCCGTTTACTAATATGAAGTCGACATTACCTTTGGTTTGCCTTTGGTTTACCTTTTGGTTTGCTTTGGGTCTGCCTTTGGTTGCCTTTGGTTTGTGTTTGGTTAACCTTTGGTTTGCTGATGGTGCGCCTTTGGTTTGTATTTGGTTTCCCTTTGAATTACCGCCGGTTTGCAATTTAATTGCCTCCAGGTTTGCGATTGGTTTGCTTTTGGTTTGCCTTTGTCTTTTTCGCTATGCGCTTGGTTTACCTTTGCCTTTGCTTTGCCTTTCGCTTGCCTTTAGTTTGCCTTTGGTTTACCTTTGGTTTACTTTTGGATTACTGTTGGATTACTTTTGGCTTGCTTTTGGTTTGTCTTTGGTTTAACTCTTTGCCTTTGGTTTCCTTTTGGTTTGCATTTGGTGTACCTTAGGTTGTCCTTTGGCTTGCCTTTGGATTACTTGTGGTTTGCTTTCAGTTTAACTTGGGTTTTTGTTTGGTTTGCAACTAGTTTGCTTTTGGTTCGCCTTCGGGTTTGCTTTGGGTTTACCCTTGGTTTGCCTTCGGTTGCGTTTGGTTTACCTTTGGTTTGCCTTTGGCTTGCCCTTCGGTTGCTTTTGGTTTGCTTTTGGTTTGCTTTTGGTTTGCTTTTCGTTTGCTTTTGGTTTGCTTTTCGTTTGCTTTTTGTTTGCCTTTGGTTTGCCTTTGTTTTGCCTTCTGTTTGCCTTTGCTTTTCCTTAGGTTTGCGTTTGGTTTGCTTTTTGTTTACCGTTGGTTTGCCATTGGATTGCTTTGAGTTTTCATTTGGTTTGCTTTTTGTTTACCATAGGTTTTCCCTTGGTTTGCCTTGGGGTGACCTTTTGTTTGCTCTTGGCTTACCTTTGGTTTGCTTTTGGTTTGGCACCGGTTTGCCTTTTGGTTTGCTCTTGGTTTGCTCTTTGCTTACCTTTGGTTTACTTTGGCTTTGCCCTTTGGTTTCCTTTTGGTTTGCTTTTGGTTTTCCTTTGGCGTGTGTTTCGTTGCCTTTGGTTTGCTATTGTTGCCTTTGGTTTGATATTGATTTGCCTTTGGTTTGCTCTTGGCTTTCCTTTGGTTTCGTTTTGGTCTATTTTTGGTTTGTCATTGGTTTGCTTTTGGCTTGATGTTGCTTTGCTTTTGCTTTGGGTTGGCTTGTTTTGGGTTTGCCATCGGCTTGCTATTGATTTACCTTGAGTTTGCTTTTGCGGTCTGCTTTTGGTTTACCTTTGGTTTGACTTCGGTTGCTTTTGGTCAGCTTTTGCTTTCCCGGACGGTCTGACAGGAGTACTCCCAAAACATACTGGGGGCTGGGCCTCACATCGGACCCCGTTGGGTCCGTGAAAAGCACGTGGCTAATGATCTGCATATGTTTCCAAATAATTCAAATTTGATCTGCATATTTTTTTAAATAATTCAGACGTGATCTGAATAATATATTAAAAATATTTCAGACGCGGTCTGAATATATTTACACAACATTTACACCAATTACACACTAATTTACTTCAACGTGGAAAGTATTTTTAGTTATTTACAATAATTCAGACGTGATCTGAATATTTTTTACAATATTTCAGACGTGATCTGAATATTATCTAACATATTTCAGGCGTGATCTGAGTGCATTTGTTTACCAATATATAAAAATCAAACATCCGAATATATTTTTGACAACAATATTAACCACCGCAAGTCACCACAAGCCGCGCGGTGACAAAAAGTGCTTCCAACAACTCCCAAACAATGGGAGTATCTTCTTCTGCGGCATCCCCAGCATCCCCGGCTCCCACGCAAACTCCAAAAACATAAACGCATCATCCCAGCATCTCCGGCACACCTTGCGCGCCCAAGTCCGGCGAGGCCGCGACTGGAAAGTAAACTGATGCAAAATTGGCATGCTTTTTGGCCCGCGAGGGCCCCAGCCAAAAAGGCCATACACGATGGGCAGCGTCGGCAACAAAGCTAGACAAACGCAGGGAAAAACACCAAAACCGGTCTTGCGCTGGCAGTCCGTGCTCGAAGACAATCTCCCAACAAATGGGAGTATTTTTCGGCTGACCGGACCTGCAAATCCTCCGGGACAAGGTTACCCCCCCTCCCCCAACCCCCCTCCCCCCACGACTTCGTACACTCACTCCCAGCGCTTCAAGAAGCGCTTTCCGTCAACCTTGGCCAATACCCAAGCATCTGGTCACATCTTATATTCCTTGATCAATGCCACGCTGTCTGCTAAAATGACTATTTTCCCTGAACGAAATCTGTTCTGCACAAAACCTACTAAGAAGCATGCCAAACACTGGCATGTACCCTGTTGTTTTACAATATCCAAGGGTTAGCGTGAATTGCTGAAACATGTTCTGAAGAATTCATTGTCTAATGTCCACATGCTGAACTATCAACTGTATTCACCGAACACAAGTCCACAATACTAGGGTGCACAACCAAGCAGGAATGACCGAAAGCAAACGCTTTAAAGCGCTTTCGGATATAACATTCAAGATTCAAGATTTCCAGGACTCTAGATCTTAAATCTTGAATCCTGTATGGGCCCCCAAAACGCTTTAAAGCGCTGTAAAGCGTTTTAGGGGGCCATACTGGATTCAAAATACAAGATCTAGAGTCCTGGGAATCTTGAATTTGGAATCTAAGGTTCAAAAGTGCTCTAAAGTGTTTTGGAGGCCCAAGCTGGATTCAACATTCAAGATCTAGAGTCCTGGCAATCTTGAATCTTGAATCTTACATCCAAAAGAGATTTAAAGCTGTTTAAAGCGTTTTAGGTGGATTGAGTCGCAGTCAAATGCACGAATGCAGGCATAGTTAGATGGTCAAAATTGAGGTGTCTAAAAAGGGGGTGGAAATGGAAATTACACAAAAGTAGTGAAAATACCGTCAACATCTCTTGGGGCATGGTGTTTTCTTGTTGGGGGGGGGCACCACATATGTATATATATATATATGTGTGTGTATGTCAATTTGTTCAGCTCCTCAGTCAAATGGAGCGGGGTCAATGAACAAGGATTTGCGGCAAAATTCCTTCCTGCCCCCTCCCGCCAGCGTCACAGGCACCGAATAGGTATGGTCACTGTTCTTTGCTTGGAAAGAAAGTTGGAAAGAACTCGCAGCCTTTGTGAACAAACTAAAAATAAAAACGAGAAAAACAAAGGCAGCCGCAATGGCTTGATCACAGTATGGCAGGTGGGAGGGTAGCCACTTTGCCCACTTGGCCCCAAGGTCCAAGGAACATTGGCTTTGGACTCCCAGGAGAGCATGTAGCGTCCCATCACCTCCGCCTCGGCAGGTTAGATGTTGAAAGATGTTTAAATGGATGGCGTCAATGCTTGCACTGAGGGAACCGAGGAACTGCATTGTGAAATTCGAGAGGGAGAAAAAAGCTGCCACAAATGGGCGTGTTGCAAAGTGCTCCAGTTGACGGTGGACGTTCCAAGGCCAAAAAAAAAGAAGCTCCCATCGGCTTCAAAATACCTTCAGTGCGTTTGATGAGCACAGCAGGGCATGCGTGTGAAGAGGAAGGTATCAAATGGAGTAGTTTCTAATTCCTGTCTGAGTTTTGATGTGTCAATTCGCAACCTGCTCCATGCGAGACAAATCCTCGCAGTCCAGGAAACTGGAGAAAACCGTGCGTTTCCGCTACTTCCGCCAAGACAAGGCACAGGCTGCAGGCTTTGAGTTTGAGGTGAGCGCTGCCGCATGTTCACAAGCGTGCAATGGCCCACATCAACAAGCACATCCAGTTGGCACCGACTTTCTACTGACATGGGTGAACAGGATCCGTTTCCAAGGTAGTCTTCCGAAAGGAGGGCACCATTCCTATCTCTTCTTTCACGAGCTGCTGCGTCACCGCCAATCCATGACAACGATGCACCCAGTTGGGCCCGTGCTTGGCGCTTCTTCTCGACGCCCACGCGGTGCCACCTCGGGACAGCGTGACTAAACAGATCGCTTGGCTGAAGCACAGTGCAAACAGAACAACGCCCAAAGCTGACAGGCAACCAGGACACCCCCCTCCCCTCCAAAAAAATACTCAATAACAAATCCCTGGTTCCCTGCTACAGCGGACTGGGATCCACTTGCAAGGGATTGAGCTACGGACTCAGAAATCACCTCGTGCAGAATGCCTTTGGCATTTCCACGCTCAAACCTCAGAGCAGCGGCGAATGCCGCCGAGTGCCCGAAAAGGGGTTTCATGAATTTGGGGATTCCCTAACCCCCAAATCAGCCCAGAGATGCTGTTCACGCACGGCTTCAAAGGATGCAATTTTGTAAGAGTACTGTCAGCTGCTCAGGCCTTGCGGCCCACTTGTGGGTGCTTCCCTTCCAGTACTACGGCACTCCGCACTGATCCGTAGGGGGAAGCCAATAGAAAAAAAAAATCTAAACCTCTGGGGGCCGTCATCTCGGATTTATCACCGGCTTTGGCGCTTTACTCCTCAACTTGTCACAGGGGGGGAATTAATGAAACGGCCTGTTTGCGTGCACCTCCCAACTCGAAGGACCAGGCCCACGTATGGGGCCACGATCGACGAGCTTCAATTAAAGCGGCCAATAGGTCAATGAGTCATTGCACAAACTATGTCGACATCCAGACAGCCCGGCTGGAGTGACACTCAAATGTCGCTCCAGGTGAAGCCAACCAGCATGGCTTTGCTTTGACACATGTTCCCAAGGCCGGGTCTTCTGCAGTGCCAGCTTCACCGCCTCGTGGCCTTGCCTCAAATCAAGGCACGCTTAGGCTGGGGCGGGGAATCAGGGAATCTCATGCCATCAGATTTCGTCCCACTGACGTGTCACACGGGGAGCAGGGTTGGCTGTGTCGCAAATTTGGAGGCCCTCAGCTCCCAAGAGCAAACAACATGCAAACCACGGCACAGGCGGCGGCCGAAGATGCGTTCCCCTCTCTGACGCGCAGCAAGAACAATCTCACCCCACCCTAAAGAATGGTTGTCTTGAGCGATCTGGCGACAACTCGATGGCGCCACATTGCCGCTGCAAACATGTGGGGGGCATGGCAAAAAGGCCTGCCCAAGCCTTTCCACGGACTTACACTAGCTTTGGCTCATTTGGGCACAAGTCTGGCATTGATTCTATCTCCACCTGCAATTTTGGGGAAGGGCACAACAAATACTGCTCCCTTTGCCAAAAGAATAGCGCTTACAAAGCTGCAAGCAGCGCAAGTCTATCATTCGTGGCACCCACTGACACCCAGCTTTCATACTTGAGGGCACCTGCCAAAAAGACTCAGGGGGCTCGAAGCCAGGAAATCTGAGCACCATGGCTCTTTGCTCCTCTTCCGGGCCTCTGCCTGGGCGAAGGCACCGAGTGCAAGGATGATTCGCATTGGCCGTGCTCAGGGGAGCGCTTTACCCCCTTCAACCGTAGAATTCCACTTTTGGGCAGGGAGCTTTAACAGGCAAAAGGGCATCGATTGCAAAGGTTCTGTCCCAAAACAACTTTGACTTCCAGAAGCATCCAGGAAAGTCAAGCTTGCATTTGAGAGCAGCTTCAGAAGTCGGAAGAATCGGGGATGGGCTACTGCGCTGGGTCGGCGGGCATCTGCCACCTTCTTCCAGGCTGCCAGGCAGGTCTCGATAAGACCAACCTGGCGGACAAATCACGTGCTAGTGTAAACACTCTAAAGCAGCCTTGCGGCAACTTCAACTTGCGTTGCTAGGTCCATTGCTGCAGAAGAAGCCACCATCCGCATTTCCACATCCAGCCCTACCAAACTGCCAAATAGCCTTTGCAGCATGCCGAAGCTGCAATAAACTTGTCTGCGCGGCATGCTCATACGCCAACTTCAACTTGCACGAGACCAGCCCCCCATTCTGCCTCTGCCTGCACTTCCCAGGAGACAAGGTATCTGCTGAGCATTTCGGCCTTGCAAAACGCATGCTAGGTCGGGCGCATGCCCTGCACCTTTCTCAATTGCCTTCCAGCCTCCGCACACACAGGCAAAAGATAGAGACAGGCAAAAGAGACAGTGACAGACCTGCTGCGTGGGTCTTGGTGTACGGGGTGTTTCCACCCCAACTTCACTCGCTGCCTGAGGTCCAGAGAATAAAGCTGCACAGTGGAGGCAAGAACTGTTTGAGATAGCCGCATCCCAAGTCAATGCCACGCCTGCCGGCCATGACCCACATGAAGCCGGTGCCACCTGTCCAAACGCCCGGCTGTGCCCATTGCACAATCTAGGCTCACTGCAGACAAGCTGACTCCAGAGCCCCATTGTGAAGTAATCTTTATGTAACATGGCCAAACCCTGTGGCTCAGGGGTGCTTCGAGCCAGGCCCAACTTGCGATTTGGGACCTTCGGCCCCTGATCCGGTGCTTCACAAGGGGAGGGCAGCACGTCCCGACACGACAACCCAGCGCACGAGCTGAGGATCTCGTGCAGCAGGCCGCGCACGTTGCCCATTTCCCACCTGAGCTGCTTGCAGCGCGATAGGCTGGGGGGGACGTGCAGCTGGTTCTCATTGATGGTCACCTTAACTTGTCCTTGACGTGGTGTGGGAACGTTTTGGAGTCCCTGGAGGTGGCGCCTCGATTGCAGCTGCCGCACAACTGCGGTGTTTGAGCTTTCTGCACTTTCACCCTTCATATCGCGTGCTGTTAATACAAGTGTAGCACGCGAAGTACACGGCAGCTCCAGCTTGAAAATCGCAACTCTGCAGTACAAGTGTGGTACACGAAGTGCACTTTGGCAGCTCCATCTCGAAAATCGCAACCTTTCAGTACAAGTGCAGTACGCGAGGTACGCTTTAGCAGCAAGAGAAATTTATGTGCAAAGCGGCATCGTTGTTGTTATCGTTGTGTTCTCGTTTTTTGGTCAGACCAGTTTGCTGCCCAACAAGCTGTGGTTTTCCAAGCTGACAAACGATCGATATCATCTTTGTTTAAAACACCTTATCGTTTTGCAGTGAGCCGTGCACTGTGCCAGTTTTGGACACGAGGAACCTCCGAATACTAAACCTAGACTATGGGGAATTTGGACAACCTCATGTGGTAACTATGGACGGCGTCGAGATGGCTATGACTTTGGTTTTAAGCTTGGACGATTTTTGTTTTTTCCGGATTCGGGTTTAGGCTTCAAGACCTCCGCCGGATCCTCGCCAGACCTTGGATCACCCAATAACGCATCGATTCTCGGACCTTCAATTTCTCGGTGGTATACAAATGGTGAGTAGCCTTCTCGTTTGCCTGATCACAAACAACAAGAACCAGCAGCCGCTCCACCTGAATGTTGTATCTAACTACTTGCTACGCTCGTTGTTGAAGGAACCTGTTGGTTCTGGCAAAGGGGCACGCGGAAGTTTTCCACAATCATGCAGGGTCCGAGCATCCAGGCTTCTCGACTGCCAGCCTCACAGCCTCCTTGGCTCTCCTGGGCGCAGTTGCGAACGTCTCCCCCCTTGTCCGTACAATGAGAAAGGGAGGGTGTGGACTTCCGCAAGGAGGTGCACACCCGGCTCTGAGGGTGAAGCTCTTTGCTCTGCTTCTGCTTCTCCACCTGCCCAGCTTCACACTGAAGGATCATCCAAAGGCCCAATCTGCCGAATGCTGAGTCCAAAGGGAGTGTTGCAGGAAGAAGAAGCAAAGAGACCAACCCATGACCCGCCCGCTGGGAACGGCGCATTGCTTTGCTTCCACCAAGAGAGTAAGAAAGTGTGCAGAAGGCCAACCTCGAGCGCGACTGGAATTGCACAGGCAGTTGGGCGCATGCGAACACTATTCTCTGGCCGACCCAACGAAGCAACACCGAGCGCATGCAAACGGCAAACACGTCCGCACTGGAGAAGATCTACTCTGATCCTCTGAGTGAAGAGCACCCGTCTCCTCCTCCCAGGAGACCAGGCATCGGTTGACCAACTCCACCTGAGCTGCTTTTGTGATGAGGCCCTGCACATCCTGCAGACTGCAAACCACCCAACGCTCAAAGCACAACAATGCAGCACATGCCACACGCAAGGAGCCCATCCTTGGATATCTTTAGTGCAAAAGCCACGCCCTGCTTCACCAAGTAAGGGTCGAACGTGACGACGACCTTCACAAAGTTTTCTCCACCTAACCAACGTCTGGGCATGACTTGTCCCTGGTAGGTGTGAACACGTTGAGATCTCCGGCTTCCACACCATGCTATGCCATGCTGTGATTCCACGTGTTCGCGGTTGCCGGTAGGCCGAAGGCCCCCAGTTAAGGTCTGCCGGCACTTGCTTCCACTGAGACCGAGGGCGCCACAAGCTAAGGATCTCTTTTGCCAGGCCCTTCTGCTGGCCGTACAGCCACCTGTTGGGCATGCGTGCCCCTGTGAAGCATGCGAAACCAGTGGCCAAATGTCGAGCTCACAAGGTTCAAAACAGGACCCAGGCATGGAAATGTGACAAACTGCACGTCTGGCTGGCTGGTGGACTTTTGAAGGGAGTCAACATGACTTTCAGCCAATCACTCCCTGCGCCTCTGGACAGAGAGGTGCACAGCTTCCCGCTGCCGCCTCGGGGATATGCTGTGCTTGGGGGCCTGTCATCTGGCTAGGAAAAGATTTGACATTTACATATCTTTTATGCTGAGACTTGACTTAGCCC